GGCTGGGTCTGACGGGTGCCCCGGGTTTGGTGTTGCCGTCGGACAGGCCCAAGTTGGCTGAGGCGGCTGCGGCCCTCACACACTGGGCAACTGTGGAATGGTGCCAATGGCATCTGGCTGGGGCTGCTGGTCTCCTGTGTCTGAGGTTCAGGAGACTGGCCCCATGCTCCTGGGCTGGCAGTGCTTTTAGGGATTGTCTTCCAGGACCGGGCCAGGATACGCCCGAGCTGTGCCCCAGTACTCCTGGAGCAGACAGGCTGTGCCAAGCTCACACCAGGCACCTTCTGACAGGCCTCCTGGGTGCTTTGACGCTTAGAGGTGCCCAGGCCAGCACAGCTCTCACACTGCCATCTGCTCTCATAGCTGTTTCTCAGGTTCGAGCAGCGTCTGTGAGTGCCCAGAGCAGTGCAGGAGCGGCACTGGAACAGCTGCCAGGGCCTGGGGAAAGAAATGTGTTCATGACTCTAAGGATAAAACGCCCACAGCATGGGATTGTCCAGCAGAGCTCTTGTTCTCAGCCCTTCTGCTTTGAGGCCTTGCTGAGACAGATATCCCGTGCCGAGCCCCAGGGTGCAGCTTCGGCAGCTTACCCATTTTGCTCAGCCACCCGCCTGCCTCCTGGACAAAGGCACTCCCGGGCATCGCAGCTCCCGTGCCTCTGCTGCCGTTCTGTGGATGCATCGTTGTCTTCCCATGACGCTTTTCTGATGGAAAAAGGAAAATCGATGAGCCCCTGCTGCCCCAGCATCAGGCATATGCAGGGCCTCCCCGCTCTTCCCCCCACACCCTGTTTCCAACTCCTCCATGGAGCTAAAGCCTACACTTGGGGGTCAGCGCAGGGCCACAACTGCGGGGGCAGGTCCAAGCGTGGCACAGTGCTGGCTAGGAGGACACCAACCTTACGGGGACTCGGATCCCCATGGAGAGCATTTCTGTCAGAAACTGTCTCCTATTTTGACACAGAGGGCACACCAAGGAAAAAGCGCCAGCATTCATAGCCTGTCCCTGCAGGAGAAACAGAAAGAGCGTGAGTGAGGCTCTGGTGCTGCTGAGAGCCTGCCGTGCCCGGAGCAAGGGACCGGCTCCTACCTGGATGCAGGCCCTGTGGAACCAGGCGTGTTTGCATGCTGGGCACACCATGGTGCCATAGGTGGTTCTGCCTTCCACAGGGTCCTTGCAGATGAGGCAGTTGGCGTCCTCTGGAGCCGCCAGCTCTTGCTGCTGTGGGCGGTGCTCCCAGCAGAAGGAACTAGGGGAAGAGGGAAGGGATGGGTGAGATGAGAAGCACTGGGTCCTTCCCCGGTGGTGGGGAGAAGGGTAGAGGGGGTACCTGTACGGCAGGAGGTAACGGGTGACGCATTCACCCTCCACGGCACAGGGGAGATGGAACCTGCGGTCGCAGCCCGTCTCCTGGCAGGTGATGGTGGCCCCCCTCTTGCCACACACAAAGCAGACCTGGAAAGAGCAGAGCAGCCCCCATCAGCGGCAGGCTCAGGGTCTGCACGGTCAGAGCCAAACCTCCGGGCAGGGTGCAGGATGTAGCCCCAGCTGGATCACAGGCCAATGATCCACCTGACAGAGCAGGCTCCTGTGCTGGAGCCTCCGTGGAGCTGCTGGGAGCAAGACTTCTCTCCCAGAGCTGGGTGGAAAGGCTGGGATTCTGTTCTTGGTGTCTGGGCTAAGCTCCCACACACCTCTCCTGGCACAAATCACCCTGATCATCTCAGATGCTCACCATCCGGGCTGCCAGCTTGGCTGTATGATAAACCTCTCCAGGATGAAATTCCATCTCTTCTTCCTGCTCGGTCCCTCGTGGATGAAGGTCACTGGCAAAAAGCTGCAGAAGAGCAGAGACATGGAGCAGATGAGGAGCATGTGGCAGGGCTGGTGCATTGCAAAGATGAAAAGAGCCCCAAAGGAACTCACCAGGCAAAGGTGATGAGCATAGATCCACTGATATCTCAGTTTTGGCCCATACATGTCCGGATCTGCCTTTACACGGCGACACAGAATGCATTCTGAATGGGAGAGAGCAAACGCCACCGGGAATGAGCACCTCTGTGAGGCCAGGGATGCGTCCCCGAGGGATTGCCCCCAAGGGCTGCCTAGCTGTCCCTGCCTAGCTGGCTGCTGGGCATGGCTGGAAGCCTTGGAGAGGAAAGGGCCCTGCAGGCATGGGTGTCCCGGAGGGTGTGCACTGCCCAGCCCTGGTCCCGCTTGCCAAGGAGAGGAGGGGCCCTCCCCCAGGGTGGCTTTGGAGCTCCTGCCTCCCCCTGCCAGCGCTCCCGGTCCCATGCCGACAGCCTCAGGAGTCCCTCTGCCAGGCTGTAGGAGGGGGACTTTGCTCTCACCGTACTCCATCGCGTCGGGTGTCATACAGCTCCTTGCGGAGGTGTCAGACATCAAAGGTTGGCAGTGCTGGAGCTTCTTCTCCAAACGCTCCTCTGCTACCTCTGAGGGAGAAGAGAGACGCGGGTGAGCTTGCAGCACAGGCCCAGAGCCCTGCGGTGTGGAGCCCCTTCCTCCCTCGGCAGCCCCCCGAGAGTCCTGTCCCTGCCCTCTACTCCCCGCACCTCACCAGGTCGCAGTGATGCACTGTGCCCAGCGTTCTCTTTTTACAGGCCTGCCCCTGCCGCCGGTCAGAGTGGCCTCTGTGACATCAGCACCGCTGGCCTGTGTGCACGGGCATCCTCGGCCACACACCACCCACTGTGACACGGGCCCTTGGCACACAGGTCGCCGGGGCGGCTGCTCCACCTGCAAGCGCAGACTCAAGGGCCAGCTTAGGGACACGGTTTCCTGGTGAACTTGGCAGTGTTTGCTTAACGGTTGGACTCTATGACCTTTATGGCCTTCTCCAGCCTAAATGATTCCTGTGACTCTCATTACCATTCCGCTATTATTTTACCACCATTTGCTTACGCTATGCTTAACATTTAAAAGATTTAAAAGCTTATCAAGGGGCATTTCAGCTCTGTATTTGGCACTACTGGGGTCTGCATTAATGCGTGTAAGTTACCTGTAAAATGGGAGCAATGAGGTGGTCAAATTAATGCCTGAATGGGTGTGTGTTTTCTTGAGCGTTTACATATGCTTTTTGCACTTTTTTTTTTAAATGACAAAATCTGTTTTAAGTGTAGGTTGTCTTTCATGAGCATTTGTAACTTTGCCAGGTACTTAGTAACCTGTCAGCGTGTCAGAAGTCACTGGCACTGGGGTGCATGATTGTGGGGGGGGAGCCGTGAGGGCCAGGCCGGCTGGGTGGGTGGGTGGGTGGGTGCAGGAGGTCGGTCTGCAGGAGGTGCTGCTGACATCTAGGGAAAGGACAATGCTCTGGGCACAGTCCCTCATGCTGCCCCTTGAGAAAGGCAGGGGAGGAGGAAGCCAACCAAGGAGCCTGGAATCTCCCAGTCCAGAGCTGAAGGGCCACCTTTATTGTGCCGGTAGAGGGGGATCACAGTGGTCGCTCAGAGATGAAACACGGTTGGTGCCACTGAGGTGTCCAGGCCGCGCGTCGGGAGTTTGGGCCCGATGTTGCAAGTGGGAGTTGTCTCGCACCCACGTGGGGCTAGCGGGGATGGAGCTGCTGCCGCTGTCTGTCAGTGCTGCAGCTGCCGCTCCCTGATGACTCCTGACTGTCACTGCTGCAGAGCTGCTAGCACGTGCTGGGGAGCGCTGGGGTAGCCCCGACACAGCCCGTCTGCGTGCGCTCCTCTATGCGCGTGGTGCTGGCGCGTGGCTGCTCTAACGGCGTCTTTTGCGCCGCGTGTTGGGAGTTTGGACCCGGCGTTGCGAGCGGGAGCGGTCTCGCACCCGCACGGGCCCCGTGGATCTTGAGGCGCTGTCTCTTTGACTTGTTCTGGAGCCACGGGATGATGCTGATGGCCGCCGTCTTGTTGTGCTGCGGCTGTGGCTCGCACGTTCGCGTGAGCCCTGGGACCGCCTGGGCGCAGCCTGTCTGCGGGGGCTCCTCCCAGCTCGAGCTGCTGGTGTGTGGCTGCCCTGGGAGCATCTTCTGGGCCGTGCATAGGGAGCTTGGGCCCGACGCTGCAAGCGGGAGCGGTCTCGCACCCGCATGGGCCCACCAGCTCTGTTGCTTCTGCTTCTTTGCAGTGGCGCAGAGCCACGGGATGCCGCCGATGGCTGCTGCCTGGTGGTGCTGCGGCTGCGGGTCTCACGTGGTGGGGAGCATTGGGACAGCCTTGGCACCGCCTGGCTGCTGGTATTGCTCGCAGCGCCTGTTGCTGGCGGTCGGCTTCTCTCCCGCAGTCTTCCACGCCATGTGTTGGGTGGCTGGGTCTGACGGGTGCCCCGGGTTTGGTGTTGCCGTCGGACAGGCCCAGGTTGGCTGAGGCGGCTGCAGCCCTCACACACTGGGCAACTGTGGAATGGTGCCAATGGCATCTGGCTGGGGCTGCTGGTCTCCTGTGTCTGAGGTTCAGGAGACTGGCCCCATGCTCCTGGGCTGGCAGTGCTTTTAGGGATTGTCTTCCAGGACCGGGCCAGGATACGCCCGAGCTGTGCCCCAGTACTCCTGGAGCAGACAGGCTGTGCCAAGCTCACACCAGGCACCTTCTGACAGGCCTCCTGGGTGCTTTGACGCTTAGAGGTGCCCAGGCCAGCACAGCTCTCACACTGCCATCTGCTCTCATAGCTGTTTCTCAGGTTCGAGCAGCGTCTGTGAGTGCCCAGAGCAGTGCAGGAGCGGCACTGGAACAGCTGCCAGGGCCTGGGGAAAGAAATGTGTTCATGACTCTAAGGATAAAACGCCCACAGCATGGGATTGTCCAGCAGAGCTCTTGTTCTCAGCCCTTCTGCTTTGAGGCCTTGCTGAGACAGATATCCCGTGCCGAGCCCCAGGGTGCAGCTTCGGCAGCTTACCCATTTTGCTCAGCCACCCGCCTGCCTCCTGGACAAAGGCACTCCCGGGCATCGCAGCTCCCGTGCCTCTGCTGCCGTTCTGTGGATGCATCGTTGTCTTCCCACGACGCTTTTCTGATGGAAAAAGGAAAATCGATGAGCCCCTGCTGCCCCAGCATCAGGCATATGCAGGGCCTCCCCGCTCTTCCCCCCACACCCTGTTTCCAACTCCTCCATGGAGCTAAAGCCTACACTTGGGGGTCAGCGCAGGGCCACAACTGCGGGGGCAGGTCCAAGCGTGGCACAGTGCTGGCTAGGAGGACACCAACCTTACGGGGACTCGGATCCCCATGGAGAGCATTTCTGTCAGAAACTGTCTCCTATTTTGACACAGAGGGCACACCAAGGAAAAAGCGCCAGCATTCATAGCCTGTCCCTGCAGGAGAAACAGAAAGAGCGTGAGTGAGGCTCTGGTGCTGCTGAGAGCCTGCCGTGCCCGGAGCAAGGGACCGGCTCCTACCTGGATGCAGGCCCTGTGGAACCAGGCGTGTTTGCATGCTGGGCACACCATGGTGCCATAGGTGGTTCTGCCTTCCACAGGGTCCTTGCAGATGAGGCAGTTGGCGTCCTCTGGAGCCGCCAGCTCTTGCTGCTGTGGGCGGTGCTCCCAGCAGAAGGAACTAGGGGAAGAGGGAAGGGATGGGTGAGATGAGAAGCACTGGGTCCTTCCCCGGTGGTGGGGAGAAGGGTAGAGGGGGTACCTGTACGGCAGGAGGTAACGGGTGACGCATTCACCCTCCACGGCACAGGGGAGATGGAACCTGCGGTCGCAGCCCGTCTCCTGGCAGGTGATGGTGGCCCCCCTCTTGCCACACACAAAGCAGACCTGGAAAGAGCAGAGCAGCCCCCATCAGCGGCAGGCTCAGGGTCTGCACGGTCAGAGCCAAACCTCCGGGCAGGGTGCAGGATGTAGCCCCGGCTGGATCACAGGCCGATGATCCACCTGACAGAGCAGGCTCCTGTGCTGGAGCCTCCGTGGAGCTGCTGGGAGCAAGACTTCTCTCCCAGAGCTGGGTGGAAAGGCTGGGATTCTGTTCTTGGTGTCTGGGCTAAGCTCCCACACACCTCTCCTGGCACAAATCACCCTGATCATCTCAGATGCTCACCATCTGGGCTGCCCGCTTGGCTGTACGATAAACCTCTCCAGGATGAAATTCCACCACTTCTTCCTGCTCGGTCCCTCGTGGATGAAGGTCACTGGCAAAAAGCTGCAGAAGAGCAGAGACATGGAGCAGATGAGGAGCATGTGGCAGGGCTGGTGCATTGCAAAGATGAAAAGAGCCCCAAAGGAACTCACCAGGCAAAGGTGATGAGCATAGATCCACTGATATCTCAGTTTTGGCCCATACATGTCCGGATCTGCCTTTACACGGCGACACAGAATGCATTCTGAATGGAAGAGAGCAAACGCCACCGGGAATGAGCACCTCTGTGGGGCCAGGGATGCATCCCCGAGGGATAGCCCCCAAGGGCTGCCTAGCTGTCCCTGCCTAGCTGGCTGCTGGGCATGGCTGGAAGCCTTGGAGAGGAAAGGGCCCTGCAGGCATGGGTGTCCCGGAGGGTGTGCACTGCCCAGCCCTGGTCCCGCTTGCCAAGGAGAGGAGGGGCCCTCCCCCAGGGTGGCTTTGGAGCTCCTGCCTCCCCCTGCCAGCGCTCCCGGTCCCATGCCGACAGCCTCAGGAGTCCCTCTGCCAGGCTGTAGGAGGGGGACTTTGCTCTCACCGTACTCCATCGCGTCGGGTGTCATACAGCTCCTTGCGGAGGTGTCAGACATCAAAGGTTGGCAGTGCTGGAGCTTCTTCTCCAAACGCTCCTCTGCTACCTCTGAGGGAGAAGAGAGACGCGGGTGAGCTTGCAGCACAGGCCCAGAGCCCTGCGGTGTGGAGCCCCTTCCTCCCTCGGCAGCCCCCCGAGAGTCCTGTCCCTGCCCTCTACTCCCCGCACCTCACCAGGTCGCAGTGATGCACTGTGCCCAGCGTTCTCTTTTTATAGGCCTGCCCCCCCCCGCACCGGTCAGAGTGGCCTCTGTGACATCAGCACCGCTGGCCTGCGTGCACCCCAAACACGGGCACGGGCATCCTCGGCCACACACCACCCACTGTGACACGGGCCCTTGGCACACAGGTCGCCGGGGCGGCTGCTCCACCTGCAAGCGCAGAGTCAAGGGCCAGCTTAGGGACACGGTTTCCTGGTGAACTTGGCGGTGTTTGCTTAACGGTTGGACTCGATGACCTTTATGGCCTTCTCCAGCCTAAATGACTCCTGTGACTCTCATTACCATTCCGCTATTGTTTTATCACCATTTGCTTATGCTATGATTTTCCTTCAATTGTTGATTCCTTACCATTTGATCATCGCTTCATCGTGAAGAAAGCCTTTTTAATTAACCCGCCAAGGATGACTTCCCTGAAGAATTCAGCTGTGACACCAGCACAAACACCAAACGGTGTCTGGAGCACAACCAGAGTAGAAGAAAAGGAATGATGGAATAGTTTGGGTTGGATGGACCTTCAAAGGTCATTTAGTGCAACCCCCGTACAATGAGCAGGAACATCTTCAACTAGATCACGTTGCCCAGTACCACATCCAGCTTGGCCTTGAATGTCTCCAGAGACGGGGCATCTCCCATCTCTCTGGTTAGCCTGTGCCAGGATTTTATCATCCTCATTGTAAAGAATTTCTGCCTCACATCCAACCTCAATCTTCCCTCTTTTAGCTTAAAAGCATTACCCCTCATGCTATCGCAGCAGGCCCCGCTAAAAAGGGCTCTCCCCATCTTTCTTACGGGTGCCTTTTAAGAACTGAAAGGCTGCAGTAAGGGCTCCCCGGAGTCTTGTCTTCTCCAGTCTCAAGAACCCCAGCCCTCTCAGCCTTTCCTCAGAGAAGAGGTGTTCCATCCCCCTGATGGTTTTTATGGCCCTCCTCTGGACTCTCTCCAACAGGTTCATGTTCTTCCTGTACAGAGGGCTCCAGAACTGGACGCAGGACTGCAGGGGGTGGGGGTTGCGAAAGTGGAGTAGAGGGGAAGAATCCCCTCCTTCCACCCGCTGGCCAGTCTCCTTTGGATGCGTCCCAGGGCACGGCTGGTTTCTGGGCTGCAAGCGCACGCTGCTGGGTCATATTGAGTTTTTAGCCAGCACCCCAAGTCCTTCTCCTCAGGGCTGCAGAAAAACTGAGTAACAGATATTAAAACACTCACCTCAAGCCATAAGCTACATCTGTCTTCCCAACCATCTCTTTCTTCACTGAGGTCATATTCCCCTCGCCCCCAACAGAAATGTTGCATTACAGCCTTGCATGCTGAGAAAAACAAACGGTGGCAGCAGCTTTCCTTAAGATGCTCAAACACAAACTGCAGCGAACAGGACCCAGAAGTGGGGAACAAGCAAGGCCTTTTGCCTAGTGTATAAGCAGTCTGCAGGGCTTTCAGGAGCAGAGCTGCCATGACCGTGGAGAACCGGGCGAGGATGTGGGAGACGTCAAGTGCAGGCCAGGGTAGTATCAGCCTCAACCTAGCCTCATGCCAGGGCTCAGCACAGCGCTGCGTCCTGGTGCTGGTACTGGTGCTCATCCCGGCTCCCTCAGTGCTTTCCCGCTTTCCGCGTGCTCATCGCGCCGCCCCTTGCTCCCCCCCTGTCCCGCGTGGCAGTGCCTGGGGATTCCAGAGCCCCGGTGGATCGCCCATCCCGCTGGAGGAGAAGTGGCGGCGGCCACGGCGACGTGGCGGGTGGCCTTTGAGTTCGGCTCCGGCCTCTTTTACCTGCTGCTGCTAGTGGTCGGTGAGCGTGGGGTGGTGACTGAGAGGAGGGAGGCCCTGGGGGTTGGGGCTGCAACGGGGATTGGTGGGCTTCAACGTCTCTTTTTGAGGTGGTTTTGGGGGTTCCCGCTGGCTTTCTCATGAGGGAGTTCCCGGATTGGAGGAGCCCCTGGTGTGGAGCAGAGACTCCTCAGCTCAGCCGCCCAAGCAGTGTGGGATGTCTTCTGTGGGCACTTGGTCTTGGGTTGCCATGTGGCCGCAGCGTCTGCAGGAGAACCACACCTTAACAGAGGTTTTGGTGGGAGTTGGGTTTGCTGAAAGTGGTTTGTGTTAGACAGCAGCAGTTAGTGTCCCAGCGATGACTGTGTGCATCCACCTAATGAGTGCTGTTTGCTGGTGAACCCAGGGTAAGACTACTGGGAGAGAAATAATGTGCCGCAAAGTGGCTGCCAGTTATTGTTGATGCATCCCGTTAGAAACCTTCACCTTACCACTCCTGCCACAATACATTTTAACCTTTCAGAGCAAGGTTCAAATAAATACTTGGTGTGAAGTGATGGTATTGCATCGACAGTGCTGCTTATATAAACACATCTGATAGCTATGCATGAACTCAGTTATCTGATGCTAACATTGGTACTTGTTTAAAGGTTTTTGTGGGGGTTTGCTTATTTGTTTTTTTGTTTGTGTTGGGTTTTTGTGTTTGTGTTTTTTTTTATTTCAGCAGCCTTATCTGTAATTATCTTGTTATTGTGCTTAAAGGATGGAGCTTGTGGCCTTCCATATGTAGGAGAAAAAGCAGATGTGATCATAGGACTAACCAGATGAAGTCCTAAAATAGGAGGCGTGCTCTTGATATTGTGTGCAGCTGGCCTTTAATAAATGGGGTGGGAAGTTTTCTTATTGCAATGGTTAGGGACTTTCAGTAGGAATAGTTCAGCAGCTCTGTTCTTGAGGTGGAACTCGATGAGGTTGTTAGAGTGGTTCACTGATTTTGTGAAGTCATCAGGCTGCTGTTTTGCAGGGTAGGACGAACTTCTCAGGAGCAGGTATGCCAAAACAAGTGGTTATTTCTTCAGTTGCTAACTCTTGAATTTTATCTTTTTTTTCAGTTTTGGGTGTGGATTGTCAGGCGTATATTGATCATCATGGCAAGGCACAACCAGCTAAATCCTGTCCTTATTTCTGCTGTGGACACTGCATGCTCCAGTACTGTTGCTCTAATGCATTCTTAAAATTTGATGAACAACGACAGCTTCAGTGTAATCTGCTTGATGGAAGGTACGAGGCAAACTCAGTGTATGCAGCAGGTTATAATTCTAGTGTCAAATAATGAAAATACACAGTTTAACATTTAAAAGCTTATCACGGGGCATTTCAGCTCTGTATTTGGCACTACTGGGGTCTGCATTAACTCGAGTAAGTTACTTGTAAAATGGGAGCAATGAGGTGGTCAAATTAATGCCTGAATGGGTGTGTGTTTTCTTGAGCATTTATATATGCTTTTTGCCCCCCCCCCCCCTTTTTTTTTAAATGACAAAACCTGTTTTAAGTGTAGGTTGTCTTTCATGAGCATTTGTAATTTTGCCAGGTACTTAGTAACTTTGGAATTCAGCCAGTTGCAAATAACATTGTTGAGATGGGTTCTCTTACTATGGGACATCTGACTCGAGCAATGTAAATTCCATGCAGGTTTTTTCGGACTCTGACGGTGACATTTATTCTGGCCCCAGGTAAGCCATGCAAACTCTCCCCTTTAAAGATGATATTTATTTGCAAGTTCTTCATTGTGGTATTGGTACATGCTGACAGAACTCGAAAACAGAAGGACTTACTGGTGCGCTCTCGCTGTCTGCCAAAGCCTTAGCACACGTGGTGTGCGCTCTGAGATGCTGGCAGACCCAATCCGTGGTGGCTCGGAGAAAGAAGCTGCTTTCGTCTGAAGTGTCTCGGCCCCTTTAAGGGGCGGGGGCAGCGTGTGGGCCGGGCGTGGCTGCGGGCGCGGTGCGAGCGGCAGAGGCAAGCGTGGGGTAAGCGGTCCCGGCGCGGCGGGAGCAAGCATGGGGTAAGCGGTCCCGTGCGGTGGTGATGGCCGGCGGGGCCTTGGTGTGCCTCGGCGGCAAGCCCGGTTAGCCAGGGTAGAAGCTCGCCCTTCATCGGAGCGGCCCGCATGCACGCACTCGGGATCCTTCAGCGAGCTCCCGGGAACGGCGTGGTGCGGTGGATAGCCGGGCCCGTGCTCCTCCTCTCATCTAGCTGGGCGGAACCCGCTGCGCTGTGTGACCTATAGATACATCTTTCTGCATTTTCTGCAGGGCAGGAAGGAAGCCTCCTTAGAGGTCTCTAATGGTAGCTGCCCTGGTAGACGCCGAGGCGTCGATGGGAAGGGGGGAAGCGAAGTCTGGGATCCTTGGTCTCCTGTGACCCAATAGCCTTCCGCAAAGAAAGGGTTGATGTGACAAACAATTTGGATGAGGGGGGATGCCCTTTCTCTGCTGGTCTGATGTAGCTGCCTTGGGCGTCTTCAAATGCAAGGTTTAAGTGGAGCAGGGGTGAGCCTCATCTTCGAACCAGCGTCCACTCTGATGCATTTTTCTTAGAAAAATGTGCCAAAAACCCCTTCCATTTTCTGTTATGGGGGTTGCAGAGATGTTGAATCTGCTGGAGGCATAAAGGTTTAATGTAAAGAATGTACTTTATTTTTTCTGTGCAAATAAGCATAGTTATTAAAAAGCACAGAAAGTGAAAGAATATAAATAGTCTTTTCAATAACGAGCCAACCCTCAAAACCCTGAGAAATTGCTAAAGTAATTGTAAGTGAGGCCCACAATCTTTGCACAAATGCAGAGGTGCCTTTGTAAATGAGAGAAAACATTTAGGAAGTAACAGCTAAGATGCTTCAATTATCTTTGCTTTCAGCTGTGGAATGTCTAAAAAGACAATCATGGCTGTCTTACTTTGAGAAAACATGTGACTTCTCTTTTTTTCCTTTCAGTTCATGACAGCTTTGAAAAATTAGTGCTGTGCAAAGGCCTAGACTTCACATCAAACTTAGTTTTTGGTTTGGCAGTGTTCATAGAAAGATGTTAAATATTGACAGAAATTTCATCGTTGAAAAGCCTCCCAGATGTGACCCCAGAGGAAACCCACATCCCAGAACTGCCCAAAGTGACTAATGACTGTCTGAGTGTTTCAACATTGAATTGAAATGGGTAGGACTTTGTGTGACTGCAGTCAGTGGGAAGATTGGGAAGATTGCTGTTCCATTACAGACTTTGCCCAGGCTTTTGTATTGTGTGTTAGGGTTTTTGGTTTTGATTGTTGTTTGCTTGTTGGGTTTTTGTGTTGTCTTTTATTCCCCCCCCCCCCCCCCCCCCCCCCCCAGTAAACTGTATTCTTTCTGGAAGAGTTGTCCCTAGTTTCTGTCTGCAAGGCATGCTCCGTCCTCTCATTCTGTTCTAATTTTATTTTAAAAGACAAGTTTTACATTGCATCTTGATGCCTGTGTTTCTTGACTGTGTGGAGAGGAAGTCTGATGTCAGCTGAGGTGTTTCTTCCTATCTATCTCCAGCAAGATGGCCATAGTTTTGAAGCAGCTAATTACAGGAGGAGAGGCATTGAAGGGCAACTGTTTAGTACTAGCCTTGTTCTTTCTGGTGAGTTGCAAATACTACCTTTGACACTGTATTTCAGAAGGAGGAGGTGCTGGTGGTTTCCAGATTCAGGCAGCATTTATTTCCTCATTCTTGCATCAGGCTGATGCCAAGATCAAGTTATTACTCTGGTACATTTCTCAGAAATCATGGCGTTTTAAGAGAATTTCACCTCTCTGAGGGTTTGTCACAAACTTGGCGTGGATTTGCCCCTGGGCTGAGTGAGCTGGGGTCTTTCTGCTTGGAAAACCTGCCGCTATTAAGCTCTAAGTCGATGGACAGTGTTAGGGAAGGGGTAGCGGTGGTATGTGTGTTCTTCCTTGTCTAGCTGAGGAGTTTTTAGTTTGCCTGTCCTTTGGCTTTTTTTGCTGTGTTTATTCTGAGATTTTCTGCAGAAGTGCAAGCAAAGCAACAGCTTTTAATAAGTTTCTTGTGGTTACTATTCTTTAATGTTAATATCTTTCCATGTTGAATACTGAGGTTTAGGTGTTGTTGAGGCAGGGGTGCAAGGCACTTTGGGCAACCCTATTAAGTGTATGTAGTTCACAGTGCAAGCAGTTTATAGCCTATGATCTTTTGGACATTTTAAAGAAAATAAATTCCAGTCCTTTGGAATGTCTTCGTGATATAAAGTACTTGAAAGCATTTAGCTTCCTGGAACACTGCATTTGGAAGCAAATGTGAGCATTTTAGGAAAAGTGTAAAAGTCAGTGTGAACTCAGATTCAGGTACTTCCCATTGTTGATCAATCATTCAAGATCATTTGGAGCTTTTAGGTCAGAGCATAGGCATGTTTTTCATACCACTAAACTTGTTAAATTTGCTTCAATTTTCTTTGCGTTCAGAACAACCATATGTAATTTCTATGGTTTCTGCTGCTAATGGATGCATTGTAGCAAGGATTTACCACTGGAAGGTGTTTCACTTTCTAATTGGAGTACTGAAATTTCTGCTGCTTTGCTCTAGTTTCCAAGATGGATTGTGAGTAGTAAGGTTATTACAGTTGGTTTTCCCCTTCCGTTCTGCAGCATGTGGTGTTACTGCTTTAAGAAACTATGCAAAAAGCAGAGCACTGATTCACTGGAACAGCAGTCATATGGCAATTTTCATTGGTAACATGGTTATTTAGCCTCCATGCCAATTTTCCAAAAGTGACCCTTACTGGAAAAGGAAATTAGATGACTCATATCAAGTAATTCACAATTCAACTAATTGTGAATCACTTGAGTGTTTAAGGAGGTGGAGTGATTGAAAGCATCTGTATCAAAATTACGGAAGAAAGTTGTGTAGTTGGGGCAGCTGCTGTCAGTCCTAAATGGAAACAAAACTTCAAATTGACTTTGTACACAGTTAATTGTACTCTGTTTCTGAATTAATTTCTGCCTTGAAGTTGAAGCACATTGTGTAGTACTTACAGTAATGCTTGAGAACAGGCTGTTCATCCTTAGGTGATGAGAAGAGGGATGTGGAATGACAGTCTTCCTGGGAACCCTCTGCTGGTAGAGACCAAATACCCTCTGCTCATTCAGTTTTTCTCATGGGCTGATCAATGTGCTGTCTTGTGACTTTATGTCGTTCTGCTTGCCTTTGATTGAAATGCAGGAGCTCAGGACCAGAGTGTCACAGTGGGTAAGAAGTCAAGTAGGGGAGCCAGGAAACCGTATGGTTTAACTGCTGGGCAAACTCATGCGGAAAAAGAGAATCTATGGATTATGGAAGGAGCGGCTGGCCACTTGAGAGGAATATGGGACAGCTGTTAGAGGATGTAGGGCGGCAATTAGGACAGCTAAGGCCTCCTTGGAACTTAATCTTGCAAGTCGGGTTAAGGACAATAGAAAGGGCTTCTTCAAATACATAGCGGATAAAACTAACACAAGAGGCAATATAGGCCCACTGCTGAATGAGGTGGGTGCCCTAGAGACAGAGGATATAAAGGAGGCAGAGGTGCTGAATGCCTTCTTTGCCTCTGTCTTTACTCCTGCAGACTCTCCCCAGGGGACCCAGATTCCTATAGCCCCAGAAGGAGTCAGGATAAAGGAGGAGTTTGTTTTGGTAGATGAGGATTGGGTGAGGGATCAGCTAAGCACTCTGGACATCTATAAATCGATGGGTCCGGATGGAATACACCCGCGGGTGCTGAGGGAGCTGGCGGAGCTCATTGCTGAGCCACTCTCAATCATCTTTGGTTAAGTCGTGGGAAACAGGAGAGGTGCCTGAGGATTGGAGGATGGCAAATGTCACGCCGGTCTCTTCCCTTGTTATTTTCTCTTATCGTTGTTGTTGGTGGCAGCGGTGGTGATTTGTGTTGTACATTGGTTGCTGGACTGTCCTTGTCTCAACCCGTGAGAGTTGCAATTGTTCGATCCTCCTCCCCATCCCTCATGGGAGCAGGGAAGGGGAGAGCCCCAGGGGGGAGGCTCGATTGCTCTCAGCCCAGCACCACTCACTGGGAGTGAGTGAACAAGCTGTCTGGCTAGGGTATAAACCATGACAGGGAGTGGAACATCTCCCTTATGAGGAGGGGCTGAGGGACCTGGGTCTCTTTAGCTTGGAGAAGAGGAGACTGAGGGGTGACCTCATCAATGTTTACAAATATGTGAAGGGTGCGTGTCAGGATGATGGAGCTAG